TTACCTGGTACTCTTCAATCCACCGACCCTGGCCTCCTGGCAATTCTACAAACCAGACATGTTATCTCTCCAGGCCATTTTCTCTGACAGTATTCCATGTTCCCAATGTTCTCTTCCCTCATCTCTGCCTCTTGGCTTCCCGTAAGTCCCAACTTAAATCCCATCTTCTACAGGAAGCCTTTTCCAACCCCTCTTAATTCTAGTCCTTTCCCTCCTTAACTATTTTCTACTTATCCTGTACATAGTTTGTTTATATATATCTGTTTGCTTGTTGTCTCTCCCCTTACATTGTGAGCTTCATGAGGATAGGGACTGTCTTTTGCCTCTTTTCTTTATCCTCGGCGCTTAGCCAGTGCCTGGCACATAGTAGTTGCTTAATGTTTACTGACTGACCGTTGGACAAGCACCTGACTGTCTCTGAGATTCAGTTCCCCCACCTGTAAAGTCAGAGGAAGGCTGTTCCTACTTGGCAAAATAAAGGGTATAGACTAAGGTCTTCTCCAACTTTAAAATCTAGGCTTCGAGAACCTGGGAACCTAGCTATACAACTATAATAAAGACTAATACCTGCATAAATTGGATGCAGAATCGTTCAGTGGAAAGAGCTCTGATTTTAAGAGTCAGCAGACCTGGGTTCAAATTCTAGCACTAACTCTGTGACCTTCCCATGTCTGGGTCTGTTTCCTTATCAGTAAAATGAGAGGATTGAACATGATGACCTCTAGGGTCCTTTCCAGGTCTAAATTTATGATTCCATGATCCGAACAAGTATACCAAAGAAATACCAAAGAGAGCTCAGAGGAGAGAGAATGTGGTAACAACACTGGGATAAGTGGTTTAGGTATGGATTTCATAAGACTTAAAAGAAGATGTCAAGGTACATAAGAAAAGAGGGCAGATGCCCTATTGGCCAATGAATTAGGAACAATATTTCCCCTAAATGGAAGAAATGTGGTCTATGGACCAAAAACATGATTCATAAAAGACACAATTTTATAGCTGGATGAGACCTTGGATAACGCATAATTTTAAGAATAAGTCAGTTCAATTTAAATCAACAAACATTTATAAAGTATTAACTCTGCCATGCTGGGGACATAAGTGCACATAAAAACTGTTTCTGTCCTCAATGTACCTCCCTTTTGGAGGGTAGAGGAGAACAGAATGCACAGAGACAGGGATACAAGGTAAGCTGAGAACAGTTGTTCAGTCAATAAAGTTAAGGGTGAATACCCTCCACCCCACCCACTTCCTCAAAGTGAAGAATTGATGCAGTTGGAATCTGGTCTCAACTTAATTTTCTCCTCATTATAGAACAATGAAGTCAACTAAAAATATGAGCAATTTTGGGGAAGCCAAGAGTTTACTTCCTTGGGCCTCTATGACCTAAAAACACTGTTTTGGAAGAAACAGATTTAAAAGAATCTAGAAACTGACATATCACTGAACATCGCAGAAGAAAAAGACTGGTCTTGAAAATGGGCAAAGGTTGGCATTTACTGCCAGACAGCACCAACTTCGGAAATGGCCAAGAAGTTCCCACATGGGAGAAGACTATAAGGAGCTCAAACTGAGAGAGGAATGGTATCCTGGGCCTGATTTTGGGCTCCCAGCATGGAGATGGGTAGGTCCACCAAGAGCTGTGATAGTTCATAGGATCTGGAAGGCACAGGAAGGGACTTCAGAGGTCATCTCGTCCAATCTCCTCCTTACTTCAAAGATTAAGAAACTAAGGACCAGAGAGAGAAGTGATTTGCCATTGTCACACAATGATTTGAACTGAAGCAGGATTTGAACTCAGGTCTTCTTGACTCAATACTTTTTCCACTGTACCACCCAGCCACCATTTTATCATCAAGTTTCCATTAGGGATTTTTTTTCCTCCCATGATACTATTTTCAGTTCATTATAGGAGTCAAATGGAAAACCAAGTTCTCTTTAGAGAAAACATTATTGGTCCAGTTCCAAGAAGATGAGATTTATCAGAAAATCATCAACTTAGAGCGGGATGAGGCATTAGAAGTTATCTAGTCCAACTCCTTCGTTTTATAGAAGATAAAACTGAGGCCCACAAGTGAAGAGACTGGCCCAGGGTCATGCAGCTCGTATGTCTCTAAGCAGAATCTGGGACCAAGTCCTCCTGGATCTAGGTCCAGAACTCAGTTCACCATGCCATACTATTTCCTCTTCTCTAAAGGCTTCCCCCAAAATCCATATAGAATAAATACCACATGGAAAATACCATCCAGGTAGCTGAAGCCTTCAATCTCTATTTAGTTTCTTGAGAATTCCCTCAGATGACCCATATTCTGAATGATAAAGTGTCTTTAATCTGGCGTTCAGGGCTCTCTATACACTGGATACAACCTGCACCTCCAAACTCGTTTCCCAATATCCCCCTCCTCTCAGAACTCTCCCTCTAGCCAAGATGATCCGTTCATCATTCCTCAAATGCCCTACCTCCTCCCATATATGTCTTTTCATGTAACACACGCTTTTAAGCGCCTATTCTATGTCAGGCACCATGCTACCTATTTAGAATATAACGGGACACACAGTGCCTTGACTCCAACATAATGAGGTCACTTTGGTCCTCTTCGAGAACAAAGGACAACCACGTCTCCAGCCTGGATGGAACCTGTGCCATCCCCTGGCCCTGGCTGTGGCACCAGAGGACCCAGCTTCTCCCCGATTCTGGTCCTTACTTGCTGCATATGTAACCTTGGACAAGTGGCTTACTATGCCTGACCCTTACATGAAACAAAGGAGTTGAATTAGGTAATCTCTAAGGACCCTTCCAACTCTTTGTTGTTATTTGGTCATTCATCGTGACCCCACAGAATGGAGCACACCTCTCCAGCTCTTCATTTTATATAATGCCACGTTGCCTTGGCCAGTATTTATTGTTTTTAAGCACAGGTCATCTTCCCAACTAGAATGTAAACCCGTCTGGGTCAGGGCTCATTGCTCATATGTCTTCATATGAACCAGCATCTCTCATAAAGGCCTCATATCTAAAATATATAGAGAACTGAGTCAAATTGCTAAGAATACAAATCATTCCCCAATTGATAAATGGTCAAAGGATATGAATAGGCAGTTTTCAGAGAAAGAAATTAAAGCCATCTATAGTCATATGAAAAAATGCTCTAAATCACTGTTGATTAGAGAAATGCAAATCAAAACAACTCTGAGGTACCACATCACACCTATCAGATTGGCTAACATGACAAACCAGGCAAATTATAAATGCTGGAGAAGATGTGGGAAAACTGGCACATGAATGCATTGTTGGTAAAGTTGTGAACTGATCCAACGATTCTGGAGAGCAATTTGGAACTATGCCCAAAGGACTATAAAAATGTGCATATCCTTGACCCAGCAGTAGCACTTCTAGGTTTGTAATCCAAAGAGATCATAAAAATAGACCCATATGTACAAAAATATTTATAGCAGCTCTTTTTGTGGTGGCCAGGAACTAGAAATTGAGGGGATGCCCATCAATCGGGAAATGGCTGAATAAGTTGTGGTATATGAATGTAATGGAATACTATTATGCTATAAGAAATGATGAACAGGCTGCAGATCAGGTTCAAGCTTTTTGCCAAGTTAGGAGCAGGATCTCCATTTGTTAATTCTGTAGGATATGTTGAAACCCTTCATCCTATCAAGAAGAAAGGACAAGCCACTTCCGAAAAAGCAGAGAGATGGAATGTACAAAAGGACTTCCTGAAATGATCTCAGTTCCTCAAAAAGAACTCACTAAACTTTTTTAAGGAAGTTCTTCGGGTTATTTATTTGAGATATCTGACTGACAACATTGAGATGGCCAAGCAGTAGACATGTGGGTCTGGGTCTGGGCCTGGTGAACGCTAACAAATCCAAGCCCACAGCAGGAGCTGGAGTATCAGATTGGAGAGTCCAGCAGGAGAACAGAGGAGGAGGTGGAAGAGGAAAAGAAGGAGGCGGCAGAAAAGTTTTTTAAAAATAATTAGAACCACCAAAGTCACAGACCGAGAGCTGGTAATCATCCAGTCTAGCTCCCCGGTTTTACCTACGGGGCAGACGAGGCTCAGAAAGGTTAATTGAGTGAGTAGCAGAAGGTCACACCGGTACCACGGGGCTGAGCCAGGATATCAGCCTGCGCCATCTCACTCCAGATCTCTCCCCAGGACACCAACTGTTTTTCTGCTTAGCCATAGTCAGAGGAGAATTAACACATATTAACTCTAAAATCCCCCTAAAAATTGCACAGACTCCCTGAGTCCGCTCATTACCAGGTGTGCACTGTTTGCTCTTAATGAAAACAGTTTTCTGATTTTAACTCCAATCCCTACCGACAACATTCACCTCAAGATTCAGAAAATGATCTGTGGCCAAATCAAGGTGGGAGCTCCCTCTACCTAATTGTACCATCAGGCCACAGGTCATAACTGCATCTTTCCACAAGATTAACATAAGCTTTGCTAAAAATCCAGATAACAAAAACCCCTACCTACAGCATCTCCTAATCTCCTAGGTTAGGGGTGCTGGTAACAAATGAATCAGGCTTAACCCGGCATGTCCTGTTCTTGTTGAAGCTCTCTGTGGTCACTGCTTCCTTTTCTAAATGTCCACTAACCATCCCTTTAATCATGCATTTTAGAATTTCAGCAAGCATCAAAGGCAAGCTCACAGTCCCATGTAGAGTTTGTAGGAGTCAGAATATCTGCACCTACTCTAGAATGTGTGGAGAGACTGGAAAAGGGGGGCAGAGAAGGCTATGCTATCAAGCAACCCCAAGGGGGTGGGTGCTACAAAGGAAAATCATGATATTGGCCTAAGATTCTAAGGCTCTTGAATCTCTAAATCCTTGAAGTGCTTTTATAGGCTACTTTATTTTATTTTATTTATTTTACAGGCTATTTTACAGGATAAATGCCTCTTTGCTGCCTCAGGCCTGAAGAAGACCCCCTGCCTTGCCCAGTAGACAGAGATGAGGTTGTTGAGCAACAAACAGGATTGAATCAGAGATAATGTGATTTTCTCTTCATAGGATTTCTTCAGATGAAGGAACATTAACATCATCTTCAATTATTATGCAACAATGATGGTGTAGTGAGAAGTGGTGGAGAGGTCACTGCTTAAGAACTCCAGCTCAAAGCCTGCTTCTGACCCTCACTACTTGTGTGTCCTTAGACATACCACTTCACCTCACTAGCCTCAGTTTCTACATCTGTAAGATAAGGAAATTGGACTAGATGGCTTCAAGGTCCTCCCAGATCCTGATGGAGGGTCCTGTGGTCCCATTATCCCCCACTTTAGGTCTCCCATAGGGAAATCTTGTAGTTAACATTTTATAGACTCCATATAGAGATAAAAGGGGCCTGAGAGCTCACTGCCCCCAGATTCCTCATCTCACAGACAGAGGGAATCGAGGCCCAAGGAAACGTTTGCTCAAGGTCACAAGCTCTCCTTGGGTGTATATGAACTGGCTTAGAAAATCATTCTAAAGGAAAGGAACCATGAGCAGCACGGACATTTGAATGTCAGAACTAAACTGGAAATTCACAGGGAACAGAATTATTCTTCCAACAAGCTCATTAAAGCCAGGACATTGAGAGCACTTCATTCTGTTTTTCCACCCTGAGAAGGAGATAAAATGAGAGACGGGAGGGAAGGCTGCTGTGGGCAGAGTCCCATCAGGTCCCAGCACCAAGGGGACCAAAATGAAGAATGTAATTAGGCAGGCCAACAAGCAAAACGCAGAATGGGCCGGAAAGCAAACTCGAGCTCTGAAAACAAAGCCGGGCTTGAAGAATGTCATCGGGCCTTCGGTCCTCAAATATTGTGTCATTTTGGAAGGAAATCATTTGTAGCTAACAACCAGCATGACAGCCTTCCATGGCCAGAGAGAGCAGGGCTCATGCAATGGTGAGAAGGCAGGGAGCAAACACTAGACTGACCCGGTGATGTCCACAGCAGTCACTCAGTCAGCCAATGAGACTCAGGAGAGCTGGGAGGGACTGTGGCCTAGAACAGAAAAGTGACTTTCCCACGGTCACACGCAGGTGAGGGGAGGAAGAGTTAAATCTAGGTCTCTCTTCCCTCCAAGCTGAGGGATTTTTCCATTACCCTTTGGGGCTCCTGACTGTAACCGTGAGGTGGCAGAGGGGAAAGAGCTAGCTGTGGAGTCAGAGGAGCTGGGTTCAAATCCCGACTCTGCCATTTTCTACCTGTATGGCCTTCACACACACAGATACACAGACACACAGACACACAGACACACACACACACACACACAACTTGCCCCAGGAGACCTAGCTAGGAAGAAGCAGACCAGAACTTGAACCTTCCTGACCTTTCCTAGTGTCCTAGGTAGGCCAAGCCAGATTGAACATGGCTGAGACTCCTGGGAGCAATAGCCTCCTTTTACATGGGGCCTCATCTGAAACCCAGCTGCTAGCACCTCCCCAAACACCTTATTTTTTATATTTTTTAAAATCTATTCACATATGTTCACATTATCTTCCCCAATTGAATGTAAGTTCCTTGAGGGCAGGGATTGTCTCACTGTTGACTTTTATCCCCAGAACACTGCCTGGAACATAATAGCAATTTAAAAGACATGTACAACGGATTATCTTAAACTGAGGTGGTTGGATGAAACTCCAGACCAGACGGGGTCTAACTAATGCAGAATGAAGTGGGATTGTTCCCTCCTATGATCTGGACCTGATCCCTTGATGGCCTCATCTTGTAGGGAGGAGGTTCTGAGACACTTGGGTCCCACTAAAGGCTATGCTCATGGTCAATCCCAAGCCTTGGGAGCTCCTCAAGTGGGCTGCTCTTTAGCCAGGCCTCCTCAATCCTACATTTGTGTAGCTGTGTTCCTGCTGGGGCCGGCTCAGACTCCAAGAGAGGCGACTGAGAAACGGACCAGAAACCCAATCAGCAAAGACACCTTTCAGCCAGACAGGTGGATGACGCACAAATGCCCAGGCTGTGATGTCCGTCAGCTCCTTTAGGGTTCTGGCTCGGAATGCTTGTGTGCGAAGCCAATTCTTCATTATCTGAGCTAATGCGGCCCCTCCTCACAGATTCTTGATGAGCCTGGGGGGGTTAAGTGAAAGCTGGCTGTAGACAGCAGGGCTCCAGCAGCAGAGCCCGCCATGCTGGGGAGGAAGACCAAAAGGACCGTCAAGAGACGTGGAAGAGCACAGAACGGAACGGGCTAAACTCCGCCAAGGGAAAGAAACGTCCGATTCCCACTCTGCTGAACTGGAGGCAATGGGTCAGGCTGCACTATGGAGCATCTCATCCCAAACCCAGGGATTCACTCAGATTGAAACCGGCTTCATTAGCATTCCAAAACAAGGCGAGAGGCAGGAGCTGAAGGCATGGGAAGTGACTCTCTGATGATAAGGCCCTGGCTAGCCTTTTACAAACCGCATCCTCGATAATTGGGCCAGGATGTGGAGAAGATGACAGAAGACAGCACTGAGTGCTGGGGCAGACTTCTGAGGTCATCTGGCCCAACACTCATTTTACCAGTGGGGAAACTGAGAAGAAGCAACTTAGCAAATAGGATCATGAGAAATAAGAAAACGATAACTGGGGGGGAATGGAAGTAATAATCAACCAAGTGGAATATACTTATGGAATGTTTAGTTGAATAACAATAACGATTTTTTGCTGTTCAGTCATTCAGTTGTATCTGACTCTTCACGACCCCATTTGGGGTTTTCTTGGCAAAGATGCTACAGGAGTTGGCCATTTCCTTCTCCAGCTCATTTGACAGATGGAGAAACTGAGGTGAACAGGGTAAAGTGACTTGCCTAGGGTCACACAGCTAGGAAGTGTCTGAGGTAGGATTTGAACTCAGGTCTTCCTGACTCTAGGTCCAGCACTCTATCCACTGGGTCACCTAGCTGCCCTGTGTTAGGTAGTAAAGATACAGATATAGAAGTAAGATAGTTTCTACGCCCCCAAGTAATTCACAATCTACTAGTTATTAATTATGCCAACAAATCCTCAGAGCCTGGAAGTAGGCCCGGGGCTCAGCCAAGGTCACAGAGCAAGTAACAGAGCTTTCCCAGGACATAACTGTCTGACAATCCTGGCTCCCAATGTGGTACCTACTCTCTGCAGATCGTACCCTTGGCCCGCTTTCCCCTTGGTTCCCATCTCTACAGACTGTTTCTCTGGCATCTACCCGTTGCTTTTGACACGGCAGGTATTTAATAAATGGCTATGAAATTCTTTGCTATAATGGATGGCTCTCCGGGATGGGAAGGAAGGAAACAAACATTTATTAATCACCTAGTACGTGCCAGGCACTGTGTTAAGCAACTACGATCTCATTTGATCCTCACAACAATCCTGTAAGGTAAATGCTATTATAATCCCCACTTTACAGTTAAGGAAACTGAGGCAAGCAGCGGTTAAGTGACTCAGTATATGTATATGAGGCTGGATCTGAACTTTGGTCTTCTTGACTCCACACCAAGCACTCCATCCGCTGTGCCACCTAGCTGGGAAGGAGAACGGGGGAAACGTAGGCAACAAAAAGAATATTTTTTAAATAAACACTTAATAAACTAAATTGAATACTTAATAGCAACTAAGTCTAGTGGAAAATAAAGCAGTGAGGTCTGGCAAACCCAGAGATGCCAGGTCATCTCTCTTGCCAAACACGATGGAAACCCAGTAAAAATTCCCCAAATCTTGTGGTTGTATCACATGGCTCGGAGCCGGAAGCGGCATTACAGGCCACCTAGTTTAACTCTCTCATTTTGTAAACGAGGAAACCAAAACCCAGACGACAAGGAAGTGAACCGTCCCAAGGCCAAAACTGCGTAGTTAACTGGGATTGAAAGCTAGGGCCACGATACAGGACCTCCTTTCCTTATCTAGCTGCTACCTCTGATAATAACTACCCCCAGATTCATCAAATCATCACAAAATGGTGAGAATGTCCAACACGCTCTGCTAAGACAGCAGGAAAGCATGGGACGCATCTTAGAAAAATCTGTGTTGTCACTCTGTCAACCAAACACCATGTACCGAGGCAGCTGGGTGGCACAGGAGAGACGTACCTAGACCTGGAATCAGCAAGTCCTGCATCTGATACTTATGAATTGGGTGTCCCTAAGCAAGTCATGTAACCACCCCGAGCCTCAGTTTTCCCATCTACAAAATGGGGATAAGGGCACCCTCCCTTACCAGGTTGTTATGAGGATAAAGACAACACATATAAAGTACTTTGCAAGCTTAAAGCCCTGCTGAGGACAAGGAGCAAGACGAAGAGAAGGAGCCAAGAAAAGCATAAAGCACAGCGTCTGCCTTCATGGGGACAACGCGATAGCTCCTCGAGGTTAACTCAAAGACGCCTACGACAACCGAGCATCAGAGATTTTCACCGTAACCTCGAGTTCCTGAAGGTAGAGAAGACCACCGAGCATATCAAGAGGCCCACCCGGTCCAACAAAGGCCTTCTCCATGAAATACTTCCATTGAGTATTTCCACCAAATAGAGACGCCCCCATTCAACATGGCGCACCACACTAAGAAAGCACTGAGCAGGGTGCAATATCCCAACAGTCCCTCCAGGCTAAACAAACATGGATTTAACGGACCGCTGGCCTACTTACTAACTCCTTTCCCCTCCACATGCAGACGTGCTTTGGACAGAGTTAACTAGCAGGAATTCGGCTTGAGGAAGGATGTCGGATGACTTACTACTGATCATCCACTCAGTCACCGTCATCTTGGCTCTCCTCAGGCTACCAGGTCCTCACATGGTTCCAGAGTGTCGGCACCACCTACAAGGGAGAGAGAGGCTGGTCAGTTGCCTGGTCACTTACACTTTCCAGTTCCTCTGCCACCTTCCTTTTGATACCCCAGAGTCCGCGACTCTTTTTTGTCCTCGATTGGAAGAGTCTTGGCGAGCAGACTATAAAAAAATCACTAAACAAGTGATGGGAGGATCGTAAGGGCTTATCAGTAGGGAGAAAACGTATGTTTCCCATTACAACTTCCAGGCATGGGGCAGAGTCCAACAAGCCTTCACAGAATCCCAACGTAGAGAGCTA